CGGGATGTTCTGCCGTTCTGCCTGCCAACAATGTGCCTCTCCACGACACTCGCAAGGGGCATGGATGATTTCTTTGCTCGTGACTCATGCGTGACTACAATGTTCCAAGACATATCGCTCAAATTGAAACCGGTTGAGCTCAAACAACTTGACGCGTTGGATAGTTGGATGGCTCCGCATTTTTGAGAGGTTGGCAACTAAAAGGCGCTTGCATCAAGTGGCCATCGGCCCCAAATCCAGTACCTTCAATGCCCGGTACCACACAGGAGCGGCAGTTCTTTGGGCATGTCCATTTCCCCCCCATCTTCACCCGACCCTGGACTCCCTGCAGTCCATCCGCCAAGGGAGATCTCTCCCTGCCAGCTCGGCATCGAAGTGACCTGCCAAGGGGCTAAAGCAATCAATGACCACCTTGCCCTTCACGGACTGAATGGGGTCCACGACCACGCCCACCGCCCGTGGGTTCAGCTGCTCGAAGCTCTGCTGTGTGTTGATGTCCTGAGATTGACGACGCAGCGTGAAAGGAGGAGTCTGGCAGTGTGACAGCAAGACAGCAAGAGAAACGGATAGAAAAAAACATGAAACAACTCTTCTTCATCTTGGCATCAAGTGGCTTGGCGATTGATTTGACATGATATGACCTTGTCCACTACACACCCCAAAAGATCCCACACTGACCATCAACACCTACACTACACTGAGAGAGCCTGGTGAAGAAACCTCATTCTTGATGCTCTCAACCAACCATGTAAGTTCATCGAGCTAAATATAATTTAACCATCAAAGAACATAATCGTTCTCCATCCAGTCCATCCAAGCATTGTTGGCAAGTCAAGAACTTTGGCCTCTGAATGCCTCCATCCGAGCTATGGCTATGAGTATCTTGTTGGTAAGTGCAAAGGCCATTTTCTTCGTAAACAGTTAACTGAGTTAGCTGTGAGATTGACCATCTGCGACCAACCAACGCACCCGAGCCATCAAGCTGTACCATCAGTTCGTTGGGAGGCCGGATGGACGTGCTTTCGCTCATGAGCCAATCAGCCGCCGTTAGCTCTTTCCGGACCCTAAGGGTGGAGGGCCATCTGGGCAGCGGGCTTGTCATCAGGAAACACCCGTAGGGTGCTGGTGGTGATTCAAGAGCCAAATGACCCAACAAATCCCCGCAGTCCGACTCCCGCAACGAGGCATTTCGTTCCTGGGCCTGGGTGAGCTGATTCCGTGGATTCCGTGCAGCCAAAGGCCACGAACGAACGACTGCTCAATCCGCCATGGCCCGCGGATGCTCCCCCACCAGCGTCGGCGAACCCAGTGAATGCGCGCCCAAGCAACGGTGCCGGAGAACCAGCAGCCGAAGCCCGGATGGGAGTGATACCATCCCACCACCATCTCAGGCCTCGAACAGGGAGACAAAAAGCTGCAACAACCCAAGTTCGAACGAACAGTGCTAACAAGCTTATAGAAGCTCAGAACTGACTAGATCTTGCTCCAGTTCACCATCTTCACCAGATGGTTATCCCATGTTCTGTCCAGTCTGCTTGCTCCATGGGCCTCCCAGTCTGCTTCAGCATGTCCAACATCTTGGTCTGAAAAACGGGGTCCACGGCCTTTGTCGGAACGGCCACCGACGGTGGAACGGCTACCGTGTGAAGGCAAGTACATCTGGTTCTCTGGTGGTCATCTTGTGGAGATCAAATTTCAGATTTCACTGGACCCAGGCCACAGAAAAACCGCATTCTACTGAAGGAACCAGATCCAGCACCCTCCATAGAACCACAGAAAAGCACCACGAAAAAGGCCGTGCGAAAAGAGGCTCCAAAAACCCAAACCAAGGGCGCCCGGATTTCTTGTTCTGTGAGGACTATCGGTTTAATCCATCTTTCTGCGACGTCGAACACACACCGCCGGCGGTGACCGCCCGGGCCTCGACGCTCACGCTATTGCCTGACTGAGGCATGGAGAACACATCCACCACTCGAACCTCAGAGAATCTCAGAGAGTCATGTTGCCAATCCCGACGTGATCCAGGCGGCGCACCGGTCTGCGGCCGGGCCGAGGGAGGGGGCGCCATACTGAAAATACTTCATGTCATGGTTCGTTCGCTGACCAAGACCAAACAGGAACACCAAATTGAGGCGACACGGACTCTCTTCGTACGTACGTACTGAACAAACATGACAATTCCGGGAGTCCACGGCCAGAAGTGCACCCCCAAGTGGGTTGCACACATGGTTGCCCCAAGATTCCAATCACCATTAATTACCATGTCTTACGCACTTAAAAGCCTTCAAAACCAGGTCAAACATTTCTTGTAAAATGGTCTCGGAAGGCTAGGGGTTGCAGGTCCTAGCCCCCTTGCGGTACACTGCCAAGGGACAGTGTAGTCATCGATGAACTCTCCCAGCATGAGGCCCATGACTTCCATTGGAACGCCCGCACGGCCGTGCTTCAACATCTTCCTCGCCAGTGGGAGACCCTCGACTCTCGACTCTCGGCGTTTTTGCCGGTTTGGGAGAAAATGAGGCGAAGAACTGAACGGCCCAAAATGAGGCGTCAAGCAGTTTTTCAGAGGTGAATGCCAACACCGAACAGTGGAGCAGCTCAGACTAGCCATGGTTGTCTCCAACCTGTCTTAAATTCAAGAAGGTTTACGTCTACGTCGGGGATGGCCATTAGATGCTGTTAGGAAACCGAGGCCCGGAGACTGTTCCGAACTGCCAAGATGCAGAAGGGCCAAGGAGGAGATGTAAACCTCGCCGGCAAAGGAAGCTGGAAGCGGGACAGATTGGATAATTATTGCTCTTTGCCCCAAGGGCCCACGTATGCTAATGTTCACTCTTACTGCAGGTTTATAGAGGAGGTCTCTATCTTCCATCGCACACCAAGATTCACTTGAGTTATTGCGTGTACTTCCAAAGAGATGCTCCAAATGCCCGGCACTCTTCGTATCAAAATCCAAGCCTGCTCAGCGGTATCTGCTAGGGCCGCATCTTCTTGTTGCTGACCGCCACCGCCTCTCAAGCTGCTTTTGAGAGGAACGTGCAGTGCAAGGGCTGCAAGGGGTCAATCTTTATGGCATCCTCGAGCTTAGTGGCAGCCTATCTACACCTCCCAGTGGACAAACAGGCTGAAACAGGCCTGTTCTCAGTTTGCCCCAGGGAACGAGCCTCGCTCCCTTCCAAAAAGAACAGCCCGCTGTCTGCCAACGGGAACCAAATCGCTCGAGCCAACGGACACAAAATACACCGACACATCCAAAACGACAGAAACACACCGCCATGTGGATTGAACAACCTCTTCATATGAGGGGCTTATTAAGTTCTTGATCAAGAATGTACATGAGTGGAACTGTAAATCTGCTTCTGACCCGTCACAGTTCAGTTGATCATCCTCAATCCTTCCGGTACAATGCACGAACCATCACCATCACCGAGGCGGACCCTCGTATGTGCGACGCGGACGAAAGTCTCCCACACCTGCCATGCCGGGCATGTTCCCCAGAATCCGCTGTAAGTTGAAGTTCCCTTCCATGGCGGCGTGCCTGAGCCATGGAAAGGGGATCGATCTAAGGCTCGCTGAGGAAACAGTTGGGGCTTCAACCAGATCCTGAGAAGGTGAGGGTTGGGGGGGGTCAGTTCTGCCTTCTAACTGCTGAGGTTGGAGCCCCAGGGCCCTTGTCATCCAAATCTGCTCCACCGAAAAACAGCCCAAGATGGTGGGGTTGAGACCCCTGTGATGGAAGCTTTGCTGAAGATTTTATATGAACAGTTGGGTAACAATAACATCGCAAAATTTGGCCTGGTCGTAACACGGGCAAAGTGGAAGTGGCACGCAGTTGGGGGTTCTGTGTCCGACATGCCTTTCAGCTACCTGGTGATTTTGGATCTATTCCCTCTTGCTGGCACTATTGTTGATCGTGGTCTTCCCCGATCATCTGGATGGATTCCAAAGGTTCTCAGCACGGGTCACCTGTCAGTGGTTGAACTTTAGGGAGGATTGAGGATGTCCAACTGCCCGGATTACCGTCGCCAATTTTTCCACCAGCTAAGTCAAAGTCATTAGAAAATGGATGATTGGGCTCGTTCTCCAGCACATGCGTTGGCTTTGATCCAGAACTGTGAAGATGGGAGCCCTTAAACATCTGAACTGTGGAATTCTCTTGGCTTTTCGGGTTTCGATGTTTAATCCATCTGTGGACCCTGCAAGCTCGTGCTGCAGGGTAACGTGACAAACCAAAACGCGACCCTAAAAGCTCGTGCCTCGAATGCGGCGATGCGCACGAGGAATCTACTCTCTACCCTCTTTTCTGAGCCAAAGCCAAGGAAACGTATACATATGATAACCAAACTATCATTGTGCACTGCTGCAAAATGCTGCAATGATTTCAATATTGATGTGATTTTAAAGTAATAACGTACAATGATATTCCACTAAAACTATGTTGAGGTTGGACACACATCCCATTCCTTCTGAAGAAACTTGTTCAACACAAAAAAGGCTTGGGATTCTCGAACGGGTTCAAGTATGTTCAAGTTCACTACTCTCGGCTTTACACTTGTTTGTAGAGGAACATCGGCATGCAGGGCGCTATTTTCCATGTCCATCATTGTTTCATATTATAGAATTTATAGATATATTTCAGGCAGTGTAATGGCCGCCCACACTTTGCTGAAGCATTTCTGTCACTGTGTGCTGGCGTTCGATACATCATTCTGTCAGCTGCACAGTTGCCGCCCCCACACAGGTGCATGACGAGGTGCCAAGTTGGCCAGGCTCAGTCAAAGATGGTTGTGGCTGAGAAAAAGGAAGGATTGGGTACCAAAGAGCATCAAAGAACCGTACGGTCTTAGACGGTCTTAGCATGTCTTAGCCTGAGCCATTCAAAAAAAACAGAAATGGCTGATGATCTCCTTGCCAACGTTGCCACCCGGCCATACGCGAATGATGAACTTCGGGTGTCGCTGGTGACGTTGACTGCTGCCCTCTCCACCCCTCACATCCGCCTCAATGGCATATCGAATGGGCGAGATGCTCCGCCTTGGCCAAGCCAAGCACACAAATAGAAGAGTTGCCACTGGCGCGTCAAACATACCTGCACATACCTGCACAGGGCACTGGCATCTTCACTTGGTGGGTTTAGTCATATTAGACGTGGCTTAATGATTTTACTTTTCTGCTGCCCAGGCGGCCCAAGTGGCTGCCCATTCCTGCCCTCTTTGTGGTCATTCGCCCCAAAATCCAACAGGCCATCAGCCTGGGCACCACCTCTTCACGACATCAGCCTGGGCATCCGCACAGCATCACCATGCCCTGGCTGGGTGTGGCCGCAGCGCTCCCCGCGGGGTCAATGACACCGGTGAGCATGTGCACTGTCCTCGGATCGTGGGCCGAGGCGGTGACGTCTTTGTTTTTGGCATGTGGACTTCGGCTATTAGCGGCTAAGGGGGGTTGCGCCAGGAGCCACCAAAGAGTCCCATCCAGTCCTTGGGCAGGTCATCCAAGAGGCACCCGTTTGACTCCTGGTGGGTGGCTGTTTGGGCAGTTGGGCAGTTGGCGGCCGTCCGGGGCGCATCACAGGGATCCCCGTGGTCATGGCCCGCTCGGCGTTGGGGATGGCGGCACCTGGAGGAGCGAGTGTGGAGGCCCCAGAAGACGGTGCAAAGGATTTGGGGTGTATACAGCGTAATATATTCATAAGGCCCCTGCATGCACCTATTCATATACCCCATGCGGTGTATGACACCTGCATGCAATTCATTCAACGCCTATTCATATCGAACGCGTGTTCAAGTCAAAGCTCAAAATAGTCGAACTTGGTGTCTCTTCTCAACACCTCTTCGCATCTGGTTTTGGTGAACACGAAGTCCGGAGTTCAGCCTTTCCGTCCAGACGTCGTGCGCTTCGTTTGCGGGGGGACCTCACTGTGCTAAGGGCAAGTGAGGCAAGTGGCATGTGACCTGTGTGACCTGTGTGGCTCGGGAATTGATTCCAAGAAAACATTTGTCTTAGACCATCGGTCTTAGTCGAAACGACCACCCCGCTTTCTTGGAGTTGCACCCAAGAGCTAAGATGTAGGGACATGGAAGGCACCCCTATGCACCCCCTGCGAAAGCATCCTCTACAAAACCTGGGCTGACTTCGAAACAAAAAAACCTGTGACAATGTAACGCAGGGCTGACTGGGCTAATTGTATATTAGTATATTTGTTACTATACTTTTTTGTTTCAGGGTCGCATAGGATCAAGAATGTCACCAACGCTACCGGGTCGAAGATTTCCACTTATATATAAGTGTTGCATGCGTCTCTTCCAAGCAAAGACACGGTTGCCTTGTGGAAGTTCAGTTTGACAGGAAGCTTGATCAGGGATAGGGGAATGCTTTGAAGGGTAACCCTTTTCACTTGGTTCTCATTGATTTCAGGCAATTCAGGAACCTTGGATTTAGGACATCTTGGTGGCAAATTGACTTGTTCATCCTTGTTCATGATTGGTTGTTCTTGCCCGCTACATGCTATGTGGTTCATATATGTTCAGCTTACAAACTACATTCATGCCGCAATGCCCAGCCTATTGCTAGACCCAGGGCAGCGCACACCACCGCCTCAGGGTGGGTCAAGCCTCCCTCCCAACACCTAACCTCATAACCTCATAACTGACATGGCCATAACAAGACACTAATATCCATATTAGAGTCTTAATAGGGTGTGTGTGTGTGTGTGTCTGGGGTGGTTCTGGAGCCTCATGAACACATAAACCACCTATCAGTCGACTCTTCACAGCCCCAAGGAGGTTCTCTTTTCCCAAACAGCTTTCCGTAGCTGACCGGCGAGGCAGCTGTTTCACGTGTTTCATTTGCTGGGTGTTTCCGGTTGGAGGCTCCAGCAATCGTTTCGAGTCGAAATCATTCTTGAAGAGTGATCAAAGTAGTACGTAGTTGTTCCGCAACATCGCAGTTCCCTCTCTTTTTGGCCTTCGTACTTACTTGTCATAGCACCTATGACAAGTAAATGACCATTATTGGATCCTTGGGGATGTCGCCCACACCGAGGAGGCCAACATGTGTGAGCCATCGAGCCATCGGGGAGGCCGAGAGGCAAGCAAACAATAGACCTCAGATGTCAGCTCCCAGCTGAAGAAATCAGCCACACCATGTGCTTGGTGGTGAATAATGAGATGGCGGCCAGTCGCTCATGTTGAATGTCCAGGCTACTTCCCATTGTTGCCACATCAAGTAAGCCTATGCAGCTGAGTGCTGCCACACTGAAACTTGACTACTGCAACGCTGGAACATTCACCACTGCTACGCTGGAGTGCTCACTTCTGCTACACTGAAACTTGACTACTGCCACGCTGGAACACTCACAACCGCCACACTGAAGTCTGACTGCTGGCTCATTCAATGAGCGTTGCGGCTTTGGGGATATACAGTAACTTGTTTGGAGATGTCTTCCAAGTTGGGTGAGTTGAAGGACAAATGGCATTTCCAAGTTGATCGAGAATTTCGAAAGAGCTTTCGATTGGAAAACAATCCACCACAAGCTGGCATACTTAGAGGCCATGGGATGAAATGCGTTGTTTGTAGATGTTCTCCAATGTCCTCTCCAAGTTGGTTGAAGATTTCCTCCACTTCGTGAAGTGCCTGTCCACGACGCCCACACCCATGCTGGCTGAATGGCTCGCTTTCGAGAGTTAACATGTTCCACAAACCCCTGAGAGACCTTGGGTAACTTGGGTTCTTCGAACATGGTGCATCTATGTGCAAGTATGTTTTCAAATCTTTTCAGGCCCCCGCCCAACAAAACACAAAGGCCACGAGGCCGCAGAGCAAGAAACTAATTAGCACATGACCCAGGTGGGTCGATGTATCGAATGTCTTTCGGCCGCCACGCTTTTGGTCTTCGCCTAGGAACGGCCATGAGCTCTGGCAGTGACGCCCGAAGCCCACATCGCCAATGCAAAACGCACGCCTTAAAGCTCGCGAGCAGGCCCCAGAAGGCTGTCCTTTTATTTAACAGAAGTTAGGCTATTTTATGAACCGACCCACATGAAGTATTCCTCCACGGGCTAAGCTTGAACATCAGATGCAGCTACGGAATCTTAGTCAGTTGACTTCGTTGCATGGTGTTGTCCACTCTACGATTCCCATCTTGATGACACCGCATGGTGATAGTTTATGACCGACCCCACGAAACACCTGAGTCTCCGGCAAAAATGCAGGCAAACCTCGGAACACCACTTGCAATGGCTGCAACAATGCAATCACACCATTCACAACATAGTACTGACCTCAACCTTCTTTCAGCACCTCGGCCTAAAGCTTGGCACAAAAGCTCTTGGCAAAGCCGTCACTGTCGCCCAAAAAGGGCATAAAAAGTGTATTTCCTCCCAGTCTTGACCGTATTCGATGCTCCGAACGGCACGCCATGCCTTTTGCTGGACCATGTCCGAGGCCAAAGATCTCAAACAGCCAGTCCCGATGCCCCCGTTAAAACCGCCCCAAAACCATCCAAAACCAAATTATTTCAGGGTGGTTTTGAATTTGCTCTCAGGTGGTTAAATTGTCATCGACGTCATCACTAAAACAGGCTCCACCAGCCATCAGTTTCCAGTTTTGAGTGCCCACTTATTAGGTCTTGGCCACTGGGTATTCCATGTCCACCCGTCTGAGACCTCCGGGCATGGCATCGCTCGGCAGCTCAGCCACCGCCTTGGCTAACAAGTAGGTGAAGCCGCTGTAGAAGCCCGACGCACCTCGGAACGAGATGGCTGTGGCATGCTGTGGCTGTGGCTCAAAAAGGGGCGACCCTGGCCCTGGTTGAACACTTGAGCACTGAAAATGAACAGAATAGGCTACTAGGCAGGTCAACCAGGGCTCCACAAATAGCTTGGCGAGGCTTTTTCTAGGGACCTCCGGCTATGCGCACGGTGGCCCTACGCCTCCGGCTGCGCAGGAAGCCGCCTTGCAGCACGGCATCTACCCAATATGGATCGAGGAAGGTGCATTCATTAGCCCCGAAAAAGGAGCCGCCATGGAGCGGACTCTCTGGTTTTACCGTCTCCATCTACTTTGAATATCTTTGAATTCACTTGAGCGACCCTACCAACGCGATGGCCATGTTGAATGTTTCGTCCAACCAAGGGGCGCTCACGGCTGACGACCTTCTTCTCCTTGGCAAAGCGGTCGAGTGCCCGCATCTCACCGATGAAGGCCTCGGTTCATCGTCAGCTTCACTCCTTCAGGAACACCGGGCCCGATGACCCGTCGGTGTTGCTTCCAAGCTCCGGCCTTCACACAACATGGGATTTCTACCCCGATGTCTGGGTATGTCTGGGCCAATTCTGACTGGTTGGTTCCTGGGCCGGTAGCCCCAAAGAAGGAAGGGTAGCACTGACTCATCCACTGGCTGCATGACTGACTCTACGCATTTGTCGACTGAGCTGGACGACCATGGAGATGGCACCAAAGGAGAGCAAAGCGACCTGAGCATCCACCAGCGCTTGGGGGTTGACTGCACTTGTCGGACAAACATGCACAAGGTGCAAATATGAAAACACATCTTCAAACTTATGTCTCTAGGTGTTCATTGTTGGATACGGTATAAGTGTTCCTCATGGCATGTAGCACTTTCCCCACAAATAAGTAGCA